CTAACTCTTTTGATAATCTCCACACAAGATAGCTCCTCCCTCTGCTTCTTCTCCACTCGAGCTTTCTCCAACCCAGCCAGTGCAGCCATTAAAAAATTTTTTCTCCTAACCTACCATCTTGGACTCAGCTCTGATTATGTACATCCACTGACCTTGAATGTGTGCACCAAGCAGAATCTGTGTGGAGGAACATCCTGCTGTGGTTGGGGAATGGAGACGTGCTCAGACGGCCAAGTCGAATGCCTTCCTTTGATTTCTGCTACAGCTTCCTCCTGGTTAAAGCCTTGTGGCTCTCTAGGAGGGCACAGCATCTCTTTGGTCCCTGGGGAAACTCTCCCACTTGGCTGTCCCACCCCCTGTGTGTGGTGCCTGGCTTGTGCATTTGTATTACAGCCTCTTGGGAACCCTCCAGCTGGAGAACTGAGATTTTCTGGGAGAGTCAACACATCAGATTTTAAATTTAATCACTTTCTGTTCAGGACCTTTGACCCTTATAACATAAGAGAGAACTGTTCACGCGATTTTGAAATTCTTTCCCTCAGGGAGGCAGACACTGTGGGAATCTTCTCCATCCTCGTGAGGGTCTAGGTGACACATCAGTCTTGTTTATGACAAGATCTGTGCCACCAAAAGACACTGAGGGGCACAGTCTCTCACTGAACTCTGGGCTGGATCTGAGAAGCTCTCTGGGGAGGGTAAGAAGCCAGTTGAGCCCCGCCCCTCTCCCAGGAATCTTGTTGGTTGGGTTTGATTCAGAAGACACAGGCTTCCTGTTACCAGCCGCCACCACTGCTGGCTCCGTCTGTCCTGGTGGCTTGGCTCCGAGCTCCGTTACTTGCTTTTGCTTCTTGACAACAAGAATTCAGGCAGCCATCAGGATTGTGATCAAGTCTTCTGTTTTCCAGAAATTCTTCCCTATAAATTCTTCTCATTAAGACTTGATTTGTGTGCTTTTCGCTCTCCAAGCTGTGTTCTGTCGCCTTTGGTTGTGAGCCCACTGTAACTGTTTTTCAGTTCTGAGCAGAAGGGCTGAATGTGTCCTCTTCTGTTAATCCAAGATTTTGAATTTGACACACCAATCCCAGCACCCTCCCTGCTTGCTACATATTTTCTCTGTGCCAATGAGTTTGCATGTGAAGAGAGGTAAATATGTTTTAAAATTGACATTTATTTTATTTGTGTAATGTCTCCAATTTGTAAAGTATTTGATAATCTACATAACATATTATTTAGGGCAGTTTAAATAATCTATAAATAAATATACATACATATCAAAAATTTTTACTGATAGAATGCATGATCAATATATCCTGAATGTATTGTTCATGCATGGGAAATGTCCCTTTCTCAAGTTTTTGTTTTGAAAATTTCAGACCTATAGAACAGGTTTAAAAATAGTATGATACAGTCTTTATGTTTTACGTAATTATTCATGAAATAATTGTTCATTTTACTGATTGCTATGTTTTGCCTAATGGGGAGCTCTTTATTCTTGCTGAACGATTTGAGAGTAAGTTGCAGATATCCTGATACTTGACCCCTAAATATGTACTAGGTATCCTTTCAGAGCAAGAGCATTCTTTTCTGTGACCACAGGACCATTGTCATATCACACGCAGGAATCCACACTGAGACAACACTCCAGCATATTGATAATACGCACTATGGGTTTTGATAACGGGGAACCTTGAATGATCTCCACAGTCAGTCTCTGTGGACCTACACTTAGTAGCATTTCCTTGTCTCACGTGCTTGCTCTACTGATGCCATTTCACTGGCTAAAAAGTTCCCTCGGAGTCCCTTCCCCCAGCTGTGGTTGGCATGTCATTCCCTAAGTATTTCCTGAGCTGCATCGGTTGCTCTTCCATGCTCCTGATTGAAAGTCTCATGGCAGCTGCAGTTCCCCACTCACCTGCATGGAACAAGTTTAAATGTTTTGAATTTGTCTAAGCATGCCTGCCATTGATCTCCTCTCTGCCAAGAAAGAAATTTAATTTCTTAAACTGTGTGTTAAACTCGATAAAAAACAAGTTTCCAGTTCAGGTATTTGGCTGAGGATTCCTCAGTTTAGTGAAGCCACATGAGATGTTATAAATCTGATTTTCCAACTGGACATCAGATCTCAAGTTGCTTCGCCTCATATCACATCATTCCAACCTTGGAATAGTTTCTACCTTTCCTCTGACTTCCTAGGGTATCAGAGGAAACTTCAGAGCTTAGATTGGGTCAACCTGTGCTCCTCACACTGTAATTCTTGTACACAGTTACAGTGAAGATGCTCTGTAGGTCTGAGACTCGACGGAGATTCCAATCTCTGACAGACGTGTCTAAATGTAGTCTACGCAGGTCACAACCACCTCAATAAATAATCAGCAGTCCAACAACTAACTGACAATTGTTAGCTTTATTATTGTTACTTAAAAAAAGAAAAAAGAAATACAAAGAGGGATTTCATGGATCACAAACAGCAATATTTTTAAACATTTTTTTCTCATTTCTCTTTCTCTCTTAGTTCCTGGCTACACGATACCTACACTACGCCACAATTCCTTATTCTACCATTCCAGGTTTCTTGAAAAAGAGGCTCCTGCGGCCTAGATAACATAGACTTCCTCCCCATTTGTCTCTCAGCTCTTTATCCTGTAACTGAGATTTAGTCTCTCAGGCTTTCTTTTTCCTTGACATGCCTCCCATTACACAGATTACGTCCTATGAACACGGATGGGTGTACATGAGCCAAGTACATATCCTTTGTTGGAAAGAAGGGATGGGACGAAATGGGGAGGGCAGCGAACACTCATTACATGGTTTCTTTTATTACTTTCATACATAATTTAAAAATGGTTTTCAACAAAATTAAAACAGAAAATTATGTTTTTTTTTTTTTTTTTTGAATATGCCTATAGCCTGTCTGAATTGTTGGGTAGCTCAGAACTAAATTCAAAGCTCTACTGATCTTTGTTTGCTCTTTGTTTGTTCATTTCATATGCACTTATGTATTTGTTTCAAAGTAATTTATTTTTATGCCTTTTAAAGTCTTCTTTGTAAATGCACTTTCCAATAATAGCTTTATCAAGATACAATTCACATCATAAAATTCACCCTTTTAAAATGCATAATTCAGTGGCTTTTAGTATATTTACAGAGTTGTGTAAACACCGCTGCCATCTAATTTCAGAGTATTTTCATCACCCCAAAGAGAAATCCTGTACCTGTTAGCAGTTACTCCCCATCCTCTTCTCCCACCAGCCCTGGCCTTTTCCAGGTCTTTCGAATAAAGGGAATCATCCAATGAGTGGTCTTCCATGACTGACTTTTCTTCCTGTAGCATAATGTTTCCAAGGTTCATCCATGTTGTAGCATGAGTCAGTGCTTCATTCCTTCTTATCACTGAATAATATTCCGTTTTATGGATAAGACACATTTTATTTATCTGTGTATCAGTTGATAGGTATTTGGGTTGTTTTCACTCTTTGGTGATTTTGAAAATGCTATGAACACTTGTGTACAAGTTTTATGTGGACGTAAGTTTCCAATTCTCTTGAATATATATCTTGGGGTGGAATTGCTGGGTCATATGTTAAATCCATGTTTAACATTTTGAAACCTGGCAAACTGTCCTTCACAGCAGTTGCACCATTTGACATTCTGGCCCGCAGTGCATGAGGGTTCCTGTTTCTCCGCATCTTCACCAACACTTGTTATTTTCTGTCTTTTTGATGATAGTTGTCCCACTGTCATGTTAAGTGGCAGCTCATTCATATATTCTTTTTAGCAAGAGAAAATAACCAGATTTATTTATTTGTTTTTCCAATTATAGTTTACATTTACTATTACTTTCTATTAGTTTCAGGTGTAGAACATAGTGGTTAGACAATCATATACTTTGTAAAGTGATCCCCCTGATGAGTCTAGTTGAAAAAAAGTTGTGTCTAATTTTGCAAAAGTACCTCAAAATTTTTTTACTGTGGTAAAATATACATAACATAAAATTTACCACTTGAATCATTTTAAGTGGACAATTCAGTGGAGTTAAGTATATTTTCATCCTGTGGTGCAACCATCACCACAATCCATTTCCAGAACTTTTTCATCATTCTCAACCAAAACTCTGTGCCGATTAAACCATAACTCTTCTTGCACCAGCTCCTGGTAATTTCTATTCTATGTTATATCTCTGTGAATTAGCCCATTCCAGGGTGTCTCATATAAGTGAAATTATATAATATTTGTCCTTTCGTATCTGGTATAGTGTCTTCCAAGTTCATCCCTTCTGTATTATGTATCAGAATTTTTATCCCTTTTTATTCAGAGTCTCTTTGTTAGCAGATCTGGTACAATGTTAAATACTAAGCTAAAAATGTGCACCTCACACCCCAGATGCTCTGTGCTTGGGCTTTAAGGTCGCAGGTCAGCTTCCTGGAGAGAGGCCCGCCCCCTCCCCCTGGCTTGAGGCGGACGCTGCGGCTGTCTCCTGCCTCCTGCCTCCTGCCTCACGGTAAAGTCAGAAGACATTTTTCTGAAAAATTGCTGATGTAGATTTTCATCACAGCAGCTGATGAAGACTTGCTGAGGACATTTTGGGTGGGGCTTCCTTGTGGTAAAACACTAACAAAGGAGACATTTTGCTCTTCTTAATGTTGTAAACCAAGAATGACCCACTGGTAGGGGCAAAAAGTACAAGTTGCTTTGGCCTAGGCAGCTGATAGAGTCTGTATGTAAACACTACCTATCATTTTAACCCCAGAATCATGCTATGTGCCATTTTATCTCATTGATTTTTCCAAATAATGGTACTCTGATATGTTGTTTATAAACCGTAACTGTCTGAAGACATGTTTGCCTGGGACATATGGTTGGCAAAGTCTGTATATTTGGGATGGATTTCACCCTGTATTCATAAAAATGTTATTAAGTGAATTCCATGGACTTCTGACTTGTCTATGTAGTTTTCCAAAATAAATACCAAAGAAATCATCAGCATGCTCTTGTCTTCTTAGATTAAAACTTTGGAACAGACCAAAGCCATTGAAGACCTAAATAAATCCAGAGACAAACTGGAGAAGATGAAGGAGACAGCTGAGAAAAAGCTACTGTCTGTCAAGTCAGAGCTGGACAGCGCAGAGCATGAGGCCAAGGAGGACAAAGAGAGGGCCAGGACCATGATAGAGGTGGTAACCAGCGAAGTGAAGACCCTGAGAAAATCTCTGGAGGAAGCAGAAAAGAGAGAAAAACAGGTGGGGAGAAACACGGTGACGAAACCTCCTTACATGGGAAAGATGGCACAACTCAAAAGCTTGATCATTGTTCACTTCATAAACAATTTACAGAGCTTTCTAGGTCATTTCAACATCTCTGCCTGCCGTCTAGTATCTTTTTGGCACTAAAAGAACCATTACGATTGACTCTGCTAAGAAAAGCAATTCCCATTTTCATGGCATGAATAGTAGGAAAGAAAAAGACATTCTTATCAAAGCCATGGAGAGCCTGAGAGGGGCCAGGTTCCACGCCCAGCCGTGTGTCTGCAGTGGGTGCATCACCCCACACCTTCTCACCGTTGCCAGGGCTTCGGCCTCGGAGGGCAGAGGGAGCCTTATCTCCAGCAGAGATCAGTTGCGGGAAACAGTCCCGAATCTCAAACAGTGGCACACAGGCTTGAGGACCGACCGAGCCCAGATGTAAACCATAAAACAGTGCTCGTTTGCTCCCAGGTTGCAGGGAGAAGAGTGTTATCTGGCGAGCACATCGGGAGGTCAGGCATAAAGAGGCTTGTACAGGGCAGCCTGACCCTTGCTGCTTTTGGCTTTCATCTCACTCTCCTTCTGATGCTCCAGGGGCTCAGAGTGGACTCTGATCCGAGGCTATTTCTTCTCTTTGGCTGCTTCTGCTCTGGCTCATGTGTCAGGCAGAGTTGAGGAAGGTCAAATGACAAGTGAGTGTTCTCAGAGGGAAACCACTCCAGAATTAAGAGCTTTGGCCATATTCAAAAGGATGAGGAAAACTTTTTTTTTTTTTTATCAGGGAGACTGGGCTGGAGAAAAGTATGACATTTCCCAAACTGGACTTGGGGTAGGAAGAAGGTTGGGAAGTGAGCGAGCATATGGTAGGAAGGTGTGGAAGGCGTTCTAGGTGTAACGTCTGTTTTCAGGCTGGATCACCCCTTTTCTAAAATAGAAAGCACAACCCTGGCTGGTGTGGTTCAGTAGATTAAGCACTGGCCTGTGAACCGAAGGCTCACCGGTTCGATCCCAGTCAGGGCACATGCCTGGGTTGTGGGCCAGGTCCCCGGTTAGGGACATGGGAGAGGCAACCAACCGATCAATGTATCTCTCGCACATTGATATTTCTCTTCTCTCTTTCTCCCTCCCTTCTCCTCTCTCTAAAAAGTAAAATAAAATCTTAAAAAAAAAAAAAAAAGGAAATGGAAGGCACCTCTAGCAAGGTGTTGCCCAGATATCCCTGATTTATCTGCTTCTGCTTCAGCCTGGAATCACCAACTAGTCCCTGAGAAATGGAAGGAGTGTGAGGTGCACTTCAACCATTGTCTCTAGTTCCCACCCCCGAACCCCCTCAATTTCTTTTTTTGTGGGTGGTCCAGAGACTCCAGTGTAATGGTTTGTGAGGTGATGATCTGTCTGATGGCATTTGAGCATCATTTAGAAGCTGCTCTGTTTTCATTAGCTCATGCTTTCTCTCCATTTGTTCTTCCTTTAGTTTAAGAGTGTCGTTGCCCCGTTAACATTCTAATGCATAAGCACTAATCACCCGTGGACACGACCACACCAACATTCGTACAGCACTTCCTAATATGCAGAGCACACACAGGGCCATCATTTCATTTGATCCCCATTTTAGAACAGCCCTGGGAGGTCGGTCTGTGGTTATTCCCATCCTGGATGTGAGAAAATGAAATCTGAGTGATGTCAGAGTCTCATGCATGGTTGCTTACTTGAGATTCTTGAGTTGGTAGCCGATACCTCATTGATTGGACTCATTGGAAAAGTGGTTAGGAACTTGTTGAAGGTAGGTATCTGAAAGGACTTTAGAGGTAATTTAGTAGGCTAGCCTTCTTATTTTATAAATGAGAGAAGTAAGGCTCATGGGAGTAAGTCACCTGCATCAAGCACTCCTGAGTTTTCCGTGGTTTTTTGTTGTTGTGGCATTTGGTTCTGCTGTAGTTGAGACACTTGCTCTCTCAGTTAATGTGTTTCTGTTTGATATTCCAGCTGGTGGACTTTAGGGAGGTGGTTTCCCAGATGCTGGGCTTGAACATGACCAGCCTTGCTCTTCCTGACTATGAAATCATCAAATGTCTTGAAAGACTGATCCATTCCCACCAGCATCACTTTGTCACCTGTGCCTGCTTCAAAGATGTGACTACCAGGCAAGATAGATACCTGCAAGACCACTTAAAACTTCTTCATTGAACACCGTATCTCTTGAGGGATATGGAGTTAAGAGATGGGACACTATGCTCAATTTAATAAATTCTCCAAATCTTTGATATTTGATCAGTAGGTGAATGTTGTATACTTTGATAATAGAATGAGACTCCATTGTTGGCAACAAGTAGTCTTAAAGGAAGTTACATGTTCAGCACTAAACACACCTGTTACTTCATTTGCTAGCACTTTGGTACCCAGGAGAATTCCACTAGGTTGTATATCTAGAATGGGAAATGTCTGTTGGGAATGAACATTTATGGGGCATCTATTATGAGTCAGAGGCTTTATTACCCAATTTAATTCTTGTAATAACCATGGGGGGAAGCTTTAACATTTTTATTTTACAACCTCTCTGAGGCTCGGAGAGGGTGTTACCTCCCCAAGGTCGCAGCTGGCCGGTGACAGGCCAGGATGCACAACCGTGTTGACTCCGTATCAAAGGCCATGTCCTCTCTGCATCCACACAGTCCTCTGGGTTCTCCTGGGTCCTGTGTTTTGGGTGAAAATTGCCTGAATAAAGGAAGGAAAATATCCATGCTGTCAAGAATTGAAGGCCAAATGTAACTGAGATTTGTGAGTGTAACCTATATGAAGTTTTAAAAAAGCAATACACCTAATCATTTGGATTAAACATGCATGGTCTGAGGTCCTATAAGAAACTTAGGTGTTTTAAAATGTTGCTGCCAGATTGTTCCTGTACATTCCCTAAGTGCAGTCTTTAATAAACTTTTCATTTTCTCTGTAAATTTATTTTCCACATCATTCAAAAATACATTTAGCAACATCACTTTAAAGACCTAAGCTGTTATATTATTTTTCCCTTTTGACTTCTCGTTACTTATATTTCTAGATTTATATATGAGAATAAAAACAGTCCATAGTTACTAGTACTGCACTTTCTCTTTATTATACAAAATTACATTCCATTTATCTGAATATATGTTTATATAGTATTCCTAATATATGACTCAAACATATAGGCGATCATCTTTAACACATATAGAAATATTAAAAATTCTTGAATGTAATCCTTAGAGAATTCTGGTAGAAAGAGTATAGGGGCTAACAGAAAGAAATCCTGTCTATGTATGTAATCCATATGCACATTAACGATTTGTCCTTTGGACAGATTGAAAATCCCTTTAATAAAGCCACATCTTTCCGTGTTGATTTGCCTGTTGGTTGTTGGCTTCGTCTCTGTGCATTCCTTCCAGAGTTGGCTGGCCAGTTTATTCTTCCATAATATCCATGTATATTTTATGTTGTCCCATAAAATGCATTAGGATGATGTGATTTTTCTAAATAGAGTTTTAAAATATTTAACACTAAGTCTTCTATGAAATACACTTGAGTGATCACTGCTACTGGGGTTATTATTCTGGTCATTGCCTGAGACATTTAAATAAATGCATAAAGTATGTCAGTGAGGGGAAAAAGTTGAACCCGATTTATCTAAATTTCCAGTTTTACCTTGTCACCTGTCTTACAGATGAGTAGCGAGTGATTCAGAGTCAAGGTATGGTGGGCTGGAAACCAAACCGTGCCCCCTTTATTGATACTGCAGCCCTACTGAGGACTCAGAAACGGAGACTAGTTTTCTCTGGGGAAGCGTCCGATGGTTACACCACACGATCTTTGACCAGGACGGCTCTGTCTACTATACGCGGCCACAATTTCACCCACATTATTGCACATCCCTCTGTTCATCAGCAAGAGGGGTCTGTGTGCTCCCCTTTCCCCTATGCAGCCTCCATACTGTTCTTCCTTCACCTTTGTGTAAAAACCCTTGTGCTTTGGGGCCTCTTGCTAACTGATATGTAACTCTCTTCTGGTCCTCCTTGCTGTTACCTGTTGCAAATGGTTCACAGGCGGTCTCCACCCCCACTGAGCACTGCCTTCACTTTGGCTCACTTTAATGACTATAAACCGAACCCGCGCTGCACTATATCTTTAGTTTCTTGGACTTCTCAGCTTTCATACCATTCAATCCTTCTGTTTCAGCCACTCACAAACAAGACTACAGTTTATAGAAATCCAGTTTAGACTACCTTTAGCCAAAGAGAGAATTTGGGGGGGAGGTGTGCATCCTTTGAAAGATTTGGGGGTAGACTAGCTTCAGCATGGCTGGATCCAGGGATTTCAAATGATCTGGATTCTTTTTGCTCCTGTCTGTCTTTCACCTTTGCTTGATTGGCTTGCCTTTGCATGCTGGTCTCTCTGTCACCTTCTGCAGACGGGTTCCTCCATGCTGCCAGGAAAGAGGGTCACAGGCGCTTGCTACACGATCTTTCCAGCTCATGAGCTGAGAAAAAGAGAGACTCGCCGCATCCGACATCTGTGGAAGAAATCTCAGAGTCTGATCTCTTCTTGGTCACATACCCAGCCCTGAACGCAGCCTTGGAGCCAGGGGATGAACTCATCGGCCCGTCTCCCATGCCAACCAACCCTTGCAGTGAAGGTGGAGGTGGGGGGTGAGGCTCTGGGAAGAGCTGTTCAACCAGAACCACATGTGATGACAGGTGGAAAATTCCCCAAAGGGAGAGAGGCTGGACAGACTCACAACACACACTTCTGTGACCCATGGTCAAATTCAGGATCTCGGAATCACATAGAACTTCTCTGCCTCTCAAATCTTAACCTCTCATCACCCCAGACCTCTTTTCTTTCTCCCAAATAGCCACTCCTTGAGATTCCTTGGTCCCCATTTCTGTCCCTGCTGGTCTTGCCAAGCTCTGCTCCGGCTGCAATCATTCCCTTCCTAACACCTTGAACTCCTTGTTCCCTTGCCCTTCTGCCCTCAGCTTTGAATTAGTCCCAACTACCAATGTTTCTACTGCTTTTTCTGCCCCACTGAATGAGACTGGAGGAAATCACAAAATCACAGCCAAGTTTCATACCAGATTCGTGGCCTTTGCTCTCATTCGAGCCCTCTGTACTACATGGTAGGCATTCGCTGTTTTCCTGGTGAGAGCTCACTGCCATTTTCTGAAGTGACTATTGCAAATATTCTTCTCTGTCTCGAGGCTGTTCCTGTCTGTATTCTCTTTACTGTCAGCAGATAATCTCATCTCCCATTTCACCCAGAAAATAGAAACCATTACAGGAAATACCTTTAATGTCAACCCTAATATAGCCTGATATGTGTCCATACCCCACCTTGCCATTTCCTTCTTCCTAGCTCAGGTTATTTCCTCTACCTGCTTCTGCCTTGCCACTTGCATCCTCAGCAACTTAGCCCCACCTGTTGTTTTCAGCTCTCTCAAATGTTTTCAACCTCACTGTCCTTAATGGCTTATTTCTACTTGTATTTAAATATGTTTATTGAAACTTACATAATTTTATTAACCAATGCCACCCTGATAAATTCAATAAAAATCTTTTAAATCTCTCTTGTTAAAAAAAAAAAAATCACTCCCTCTACTTTACGGCAAAATCTCCTTAGAGCCTCATTTCTCTCTCTTAAGGACGTGGTTTGTATGGCTGTCTTTCTGATCTTGCCTCCCATTCATTGCATCACTCATCACAACGTGCCTTCTGTCTCCACTCACCCAGCTCTCACATCTATGTTAGCAAATCTCTGGTACTTTTTAAGTGCTTATATTACTTGATCTTTCTGTAACATTGGATATAATCGACCATTTCCTTCTTGAAACATTCTCTTCCATTAGCTTCAATGATGTTTTATTCCTGCCTCTCTGGGTGTCTGGGTTAGATTATTTTAAGGTTGCAGGAAACAAACAAAAAACAAAAACAAAACAAAAAAGAAGAGGTTAATGTAAGGATAAGTGTGGATATAAGTGTGGGTGGGAATCTTGACCTCCCAGAGGAACGCAGTGAAGAATGGTCCTCCATCCTGCAAACTGGCACGTAATTGATAGCGTGAGAACTGAAGTGCCAAATGCACAGTACGGTGTGGCTCTCACGCTGGTCCCCTTCCCCGTCCCGCCAATGTGGTTTTCCTTTGACGCTGTGACCACTCACTCTCCCTCTTCCACTGCTTCTGATGCTTCAGCTGATGCCATTATCATGTCTCTTCTCCTTTTCTATGTTTAGTTTCCACGTCCACACACTCTTGGCTGCCCCTGGTCTATGTGTCTAAAACTTCCTGCCTTATCTATATGCCTTTCCATTTCTGCTCCCATCACAAATGTTTCTGTGTTTCTCCCCCAGAGGGAGACCCTGGTGAGTTGGATCTGTCCCTCTGCAGTGTGAGGTGCCTCCGTTGAGCAGCACTTTCACACCGTGTCACTTTATAGGACAGTGACAAGCCTCAAGACGGGTTTCCCTTAGATCAGACACCTACTCCCAGGCCAGTTGTTTGGAGTCATGGAGGCAGGATCTCCTGTCAGCCTCTTGGATGTGAGTGTTCCACGGTCTCTTTTTCTCACCCTTATACAGTCTCCAGGGCATTAGCCTTGTGACCTCAAGCTGTGGGAATGTGTCACACATCTGCCCATGTTTCAGTTTCCTCATCTGTGAGACAGATGTCTGTTATGGGTTGAATTATGACTGCCCAAAAGGTGCTGAAGTCTTAATTGTGAGAACCTGTGATTGTGCCCTCATTTGGAAAGAGTCTTTGCTGATGACCAAGTTAAGGGTGGGCCCTGTTCAATAGGACTGGTATCCTTGGAGGGACCTTGAACACATAGACACCCACGCAGGGAGAACGCCATGTGAAGATGGAGGCGGAGATTGGGATCGTGCAGCTATGAGCCAAGGGATGCCCTGGATTGACAGCTAGACCCCAGGGGCCAGGAGAGAGGCACGCAGTCTCTCAGTCCTCGGAGGGACCGTCTTGACCTCAGACTTCTGGCCTCCAGAACTGGGAGAAAATAAATTTCTGTTGTGCAAGTCATTCAGTTGGTATAACTTTGTTAACATAGCCCTGGAAAACTATATACTGTCTTATAAGATTGCTGTAATGATTAAGTAATGTGAAGCATTTGAAAATATCCTGGCATGCCAGCTAATATCATTTGTTGTAAATATTGCTAACCAGTTCCACCTAGTCTTCTGGCTTTAATGATTAGCTATACGATAATGAGGCCAACTTGAACCTCTTTAGTTGAGAGCCCTGACCTGAGCCTCACACCAGGGTATGCAGTGCTGTGCTATAGAGGGACCCAGCAGAAGTCTTGGGTTCAGACACAGGCTGGTTGATTAACATACATGCGATATGTGAACATATCGCATGTATGCCCAGTGAACATTATTTATTCTATAGGCATCTCAAACTGTATCACCGGTAATACTGAATTTATAATTTCTACCTCCACCACCATCTCCTACCTCCCTACCTGTACCCCAAGGACTTGCCTCTCTCGTGGGTTCCCTGCCTTAGGGAATGGCCTCGTGTCTGCTTGGATGTCCACATCAACATGCTGGGAGGGAACTGCAACTTCTCCCCCTCCTCCCTCCAACATCTGGTAAGTCACAGAGCCCTGCCTGTTCCACCCCCAGCCTTCTCCCTCAGCTGCCCCTGTGCCTCCATCTGTGTGAACACTGCCCGCCATGGTTTAGGCCCATTGTCTCTCACTCACTCAGTCTCTGCTTTGGTGTTCCTGGCACTGGGGACTGTTCCCACCCTTCTCCTTTGTAGATAGAGTGGTCATTAAAAAACCAAAACCCGCAAAGCAAATACAGTCCTGTGAGGCGCTGCTTTAAACCCTTCCATTGTTCTCACTGCTCTCTGGGTGAAGGCTGGCCTTTCTGGCAGGGCACGCTGGGTTTTTCACGTCCCCTTAGTCCTGT